ATTAACTAAGAACTGGGAAACTTCGCGTGTGAAAATGCTGAAACACTGTGGCTAAAATCCTACTCTAGCACAGTTGCAGAGATCCAGCAAAATGGCTGAATCACCTTCTCAGAAGTAACTGTGAGCAGAATTTTAGAGATGCAGAAATCTGTCCTTTTTTATTAAAATTTCATTCTGTTCATTCAGAGACAATTGCAAAGTTCAACTACCTTTGCTGGGTGGGTAGCAAATTGTAAATCACTGTTTAGCAGAATCTGCATTATGTGACCTACATTTAAAGGCCTCATGTCTTAGAACATTCAAATACTTCAGATGTATCATCTGTCATACTACTAGCTAAAGATTCCATACTACTAGCTAGTATCACTCATCTTCAAAACATAAATTGTGACAGAATAAAAAATTTTGATATATAGCCCTTAAAAGGTATCTTATTTTTTTAAAAAAAAACTTACTCAAGTAGCATGCATGCATACCATGCAAAAAAAGGTCAGCGGCCTGGAACATCTGCCCTATGAGGAGAGGCTGAGGGAGCTGGGCCTGTTCAGCTTGGAGAAGAGAAGGCTGAGAGCGGACCTGATCAGTGTCTATAAGTACCTCAAGGGAGGCAGTGAGGAGGATGGTGCTGGCCTCTTTTCAGTGGTGGCCACTGATAGAACTAGAGGTAACGGCCACAAACTGAAACACCAAAAGTTCCACAGGAACTTAAGGAAAAATTTCTTGCCAGTGAGGATGACAGAGCACTGGAACAGGCTGCCCAGAGAGGTTGTGGAGTCTCCTTCTCTGGAGATCTTCAAAACTGGCTTGGATGCCACCCTGTGCCACGTGCTCTGGGTGACCCTGCGTGTGCAGGGAGGTTGGACTAGATGACCTCTAGAGGTTCCTTCCAACCTTAAGCATTCTATGATTCTATGAAAAAAGGCAGGCGCGTAATTTTCACACCCCGATTTATTTCAGCTTTGTAAGGATGTATTATTCCAAGTAGTGTTGCTGCCACCAAAAGTAGCTGCCAAATGTTAGCATCCACCCAAAGAGATTTGACAGTTTTATTCACAAGACAGAGCTAAAATCATTCTTTTGCTGATATTGGCAGCATTGCCTTTGGATAAGATCCTCTAAATATATGTAAAATAAACAAAAGAAATTTGTGACTACTTGACAATAAGCTACGGACCAGCTTTTGAAATACCTGGTTGCGAAAGGCAATCAGGGCTCAAAAAGGCCCTCCCAATTTCTTGAGAAATGGCTATTACTTGGATTTGGTGGAAGATGTGTTATGGCTTGTTGCCGCTCAAGTTGTTGGAGAAATGCATGCAAGTAAACAGCATTTGGCCTGTAATCTGCAAAAGGGATGTAGGGAACCATGAGAAATGCTTTGTGCCTATTGCATTTTAAGATCCAGTGAACATCTAGAACCATACAGACTAATTTTAAAGCTTTTCTTCAATAAATTAGCCCAATGTTGTCTGTTTGAAAAGATCTCTGTGTGTGTTCTGTTGGGCACTGCAGTGAACAGCTCAGCTTGCATGGACAATTGGCTCTACCCTTCTTTCTAGCTTCATGTGTATTTTCGGTAAGAACTGGTAACCACATTGTTTTCAGTTCTATGTTCACAAAAAGTTTCAGCTACAGCATTCTGTGAAAGAATCATCAGTTGCACCTTGATTTATAATACCAATTGCAAATAAAATTGTGTAAGAATGTTTGATGGGCCTTTTTTTTTTTTTCTTATTTCAAATATTATGGCAGAAAGCAAGCAAGCAGTAGAAAAAAACATTTAAATAATTAATGGTCAGTCTCTGCAATTTATCACTTTTAAAAGACCAGTCTCACTGGCATCATTGGGACTGCTTTATCCTGGTATTTGGCTAGCAATGAACAACTAGGCGGTCAGCATACAGATGGAGCATTCTTGGAAACCTCTCCTTATTAATCTTCCTTCAACACAAGAATAGAATCCCAAACTGTACTCAGAGAAAATCCTGTTGAACTGCAAAAGGATCTGAAAACCCACAAGTGTTTCACAAAAGAGCTGGAACAAGCTCTCACCATTGAACATGTGAGCTCTGAGATTACATCACGGCCATGGCAATGGAGTTTTCAGACATCCCATGTGTATCACAGGTCTTTAGTTTAATTAGAAATTATGCTTTGAGTTATCCATCCTCCATTTGTCAAGATAGGTTGCCAGACGAAGCCAACACTGACAGCCAGAATTTGATCAGGCAGTATTGGGAAGTCTAGCTCTCATTTTTCATTTGTATAAAATAACATTACATGAGTGGAATGTGATTTTATTATCTCTATTAATGTCACTCCTACTGATTCTTGACAGAAAACTCAGGAAAAAATAAAACAATAGTGAAGCTCTTCCCATAGGCCTTTACACGCCTCCATCCTTCCTCCTAGGTTAGTAAACCACTCTTGTCTGTGAGGCAACTGTTACTCTTCTTGATGAATAAAAAGATTCTCTAAAAGGCTACTATCTGAAGGGCATAATGAATGGTGGAAGTTTTGTTGTTGCAGGGGGACACTTTTTTTTCACTGAAAAGAAAAATCAATGAGTGGAATGTAAGTAGCATGTTAAATGCCTTAATTATTGCTCATTTCTTTGCCTTCACAAAGTGTATGCATCTTAACCCAAAGTCTGCAAACCTTTCTAAAGACAATGTATCTTAGACATTCATGTTACATTTTCTCTCAAATTTCTTTATATTTAATCTGGAAAAAAAATTAATTCAGGTAACTACAATAAAATATATGGAGGGTCAAGTTTCAATAGATTTTTATATCTTAAAACAAAAAAGGTAGTTTGAAATATTGCTTGGCTCTTTTCAAAGGGAAAGACATAGAGGAAGCAGGATGGAATATGCAATGTACATATGATGTTTTTTCAAGATTCTTGGAAAAAGAGTAGCTTACAAATGTACCAGAGCTCAAGCAATGACTGAACAAAGAATGACAAATAACTGAAGGTCTCTTATGGCAACTTTGACATAACAGCACTGCGCAAATTTTTAACTATGTGCTCAACACAGCAGCACGCTCAGGAAAAACAGCTTTTTAGCTGTTCCATTGCAAACAAGACTCTGCAGTCAAGGATGATGACAACATAGCAACAGCAACAGTTTCAAATTTTATCTGATATATCTAAAATGGAATTTTTATTTCGGCGTCAGCTATCTGAATGGGGAACATGTTTGGAACACATATATGCTTGAACTGCAGCTAGCCTGAGAATAAACTTGTGCTCCTAGGAGAAGTATGACTGATCCAAAAATTTTTACTAAGGCTCCCATGGACCTGGGTTCTATTTAAATGATGAAAGGTCGTCTTATAAATCAAGTCAAGAGAATGATAGATAAATGATGATGCACATAATTTTCAAGCAAACATTTGTTATGATTATCTCTTACTACCAGTAAGTTTCTTCGCAAACATTTTCTCCATCTTAATTTTACCCACATGCAATCTACGTGGAAGCAAAAGCCTAAAAAGAACAAGGAGTATAAAAGTCAAACGCTTTTCGAGAACATAAAAAACTTCTACCTGCTTTCTTTCAGACCACCTTCAGTTGATGTTCAGTATTTTTCTCCACAACTAACTCCGCTACTTCTGCTTTGGAAAGTCTGACAAAATGTCAATAATTAGATGCCAACCACCTAAGAGTTGTGTGAAACTTGGCGGTTTCACTTTGCAGGAGTGCAGGCAAATATTTTATTTGGTGTCAATCCACATATGTTCCCTCTCCACCACTTTCAGTTTGAGTTTTGACTTTTGAATAAGCCCAAACAGGCAAATGAATAGGCAGTCAAAATTTCCACATTTTACCTGGTTTCACTTCATGACCACGCAAATAAAAAACAGGCAGGCATATCTTCATGAATCAACAATGGATCAAGCTTGATGTTCAGATTTATGGAAGAAATACAAGGAAGTATTTGTCATGGCTGTGGTGATTTACCTATACCCAGCCACAAAAAACTTAGGGTTGTGGCAACGTTAACCCTCCCTAGCACCGTTACCACTTGTGCTCTACATTCTGTAAAGTGCTGCAGACGTGTGCATTTATGATGCTATATAAAGGCTCAAAATGAGAATAATAGTAATAATAATTGGTTTTGTTTTAAATCCTGCCAGGATTTTACATCATCATAGCTGCCTTCTACTCTTTCCATCCACCCCCAAGTATCTTGAGACCACAGCTCACTGGAGTGCCACTGCCGTTGTCAGTGTGCCCAATTCTGATCTTCAGTCGGTTAAAATCAGCAGTAATCTAACATCGCTAACTACAGCAAGTGAAGCTTGCTGTGCATAGGGAGGTAAAGTCAAATGCCATTGAAGCAAAAAACATCAGAAAGGTTTGATTATATTAGCATGCCCTCTGAGGACAGATTTGTTGTGTACCCTAGGAAAGAAAAAAAAAAAAGAAAGGAAAGAAGACTGTGGAGTCCCAAATCCAAGTAACTACAGGTATTAGGACAGGTTGTGAGGCAGAGAAAGAAGGAAAAAGGGATGAGAGAGATGAAAGAAAATGTGGAATGAAGACAAGAAAGGAGATGTCAGACAGGGGCAGAGGACAACACATGAGGAGAAAAAAACTTGAACGTGAAATGAGAATGCAGGATAAAAGAATTGCTGTTGGATTACGGATGTTGATATTGGAAAAGAAAGGTGAGTGAACATTTGGGTAATTTCAGGAATAAGATAAAATTAGAGATGGAGAGGAGAAAAGTTCAAGGATAAACAGCGTAAGGATGAAAAGGAGATCCGAAGAAGGGAAGTATGAGACAAAGGTGGAAATACATTTAGAAATGGGACAAAGAATACCAAAACTATATATAAAGCAGAAGTAGGCCTTGAGAAAGAGTATGAATGGGAAAAGCAAAGGGGTTTCAGAGAAGCCTAGTGGTAGGCCTAAAGAGCGTATGAAAGTGATGGATGAGAATGGAAGGCAGTAGAAGACCTAGGTGCTCCCCATGTGTGCAAGGTCTCCTTACCAGTCCACCACAGGTACTGAAAGAGGCGAAGGAGCCTGGGTAGCGGAGAACAGCACCACTGTAGTAACAAGCTCTCTCAGGCTGAGGCTGTGCAGCACTGGGTGGGCTCTTCCCCTCACCCCTGAGCCGCTCCTCCACAGCAAAGCCGGGCGCCAGGAAGCGACTGTCCCTCTTGAGCAGCAGGTAGAGCTCCCGAGAGAATGCCGGGATCCTCAGCAGCACCTCCTCTCCATCTTCGGAT